CGGCAGGGGGGCCCCCCCCTCCCTGCCCCCTCCCCCACCAGCGCCCAGGGCGCTGACCTCCCGCCTCGGCCCCCAGCGCCCGGCCGGCCCATGCCCCGCGGCTCACTGCTCCTGAGGCTGGCCCGGTGCATCCTCCTGCTGCTGCTCGTGCTGGCGCTGCCTCCTGCGGCTCTGAACGATAGACACCACCACCCCGGACAGCCTGGAGGCCAGGCCCAGGGAGAGCCCGGGGCTGGGGCTTGGACATGGCCCCGAGCCCTGCCCGAGAGCAGACATGGGATGACGCGACACGCGTCCAACTCCATGGTGTCCCACGTCCACCCTCGTGGTCTCCTGTTTACACGTCCCGGGCCCCCACAGGGTTCTCCTAGGAAAAACCAGCTACGACGGGGACCCACACGCTCCAGCCCCAGGGTCCCCATAGCCCTCCCCCATCCTACCAGGAGCTCAGCGCTCAGCAGCCCTGGCCTGGTTGTCCCTGGGCCACCTGGAGAAGGTGAGACCCAGACTCGCTGCTCCGAGGGCCTGCCAGGGCCCGGACACAGCACACCTCCTGCCGCCCACAAGGGCGCCTTGTGTGGGGCCAGGGCCAACCTCCAGCCCAGGTCCGAGCCCTGGGGGAGTCTGTGGGGATGTGGCCTCCACAGGGCCAGCCATGAGCGCGGCGGCGGCAGGATGTTGGGGTGGGAGGCCTGGCCCTGGAGCCTTTCGAGCCTTCAGATCCGCCTCTCGTGCCCTGCTCTGAGCCTGAGGATCCTCTCGGTGACAAACTCCAGGCCCCAACTCTGCATAGAGAGGGGAGGCCTGAGCCAAGAGGGAGGCCCAGGCCAGACCCCAGGAGGGACCGCCTGGGGAGAGCCTGCCACAGCCTAGACCCCCGAGGCCGTGCTGTTCTGCATGGCCAGGACACAGGGTGGGTCTTCCATAGAGCCTGTGGTCTTTCAGCCTGTGAGTGTTCACAGGGGCCAGAGCGACAGGACGACTGGGCAGGGCGCTGGGTCCCCCCGAGGCCGTCCCGCCTGCAGCCTCTACCCTAAGTCTCTGTGGCACGAGTGTGCCAGGCTCGCCCGGGTGTATCCACCGAGCCCTGGCCAGGCCTCCCGGTGTTCCTGCTGCTCCCACTCACAGGCCTGTCTGTAGCTGTCGGGACCCTGCCCCTCCGGTCCTCAGGGAGCCAGGCCGCCGGTCTCCAGGGGCTCTGCCCGCTTTAAAATGGGGGAGAGCCAAATGGCAGGCCCAGGAGAGGGGAGCCCATTCCCAAAAGTGGCCCCGGTGTTATGGTGGGGGCTCCACACTGAGGCACCAGCCCTCGGGGGCTCTCCAGCTCCAACTGTCACCACGGCCACCGGCCAGGCCTCCTCCCACCCCACTCCCATAAAGAGGATGGGCCAGCCGAGCATGGAGGGCAAGGCAGCTGGATCCCATGTGGCTTCCCACATGCCGAACTGCATGGTTCAAGTCCTGGACCCGGCAGCTGGAGGAGCATGTCACGCATGTGTGCACGCATGCCCAAAATCCCAGAGGAGGGGGAGGTGGAGGAGACATTGTGGCGAGAGCCCCACGAGGGTGCTTTCTCTTTCCTCCCCCGCCTCTCCCTGAACATTGCCAGCGAGCTCACATAACTCCGGCACCAAAAGAAAAAGCAGACAAATACTGCCCCTACTCCGTGGGGACACAGGCTCAGGAAGGCCAGGTCCGTGCCCGTGGCCCCGACCCAGCTCAGCACCCAAGCTCCAGCCCCGTCTGGGACCACTCTCCCGGGCGGGAGCTAGCCCCTCAGCCTCTGCAGGCCCACCCCGTACAGGCGTACGCTGTTTCCAGACGTACCCCAGATCCCTGGGGGGTGGTTCAAGACCCGCCGCAGCCTGGGTGCAAGGCCCAGGCCCACCTGAAAACGCAGGCCCAGGAGTGGCTGGCGTCCAAGTCCTCCACGCTTCTGGAACCAGAGGGGAAGACTTGAATGCAAGGGAGGATCCTGCAGGGCCGACCACAGTGGCTTAGGGAGGACTGGAGTGTGCGTGCACCCCAAACCCAACAGGCTGGGAGACAGAGACGGGGCTGCGGCCTGGCCATGCCCCCCCCGGGGGGGTGCTTCCTCTCTCCTGTCACTCTCTGGGAGTGTACACGCCCCCTGGAGAATGGGGCAATGTGACAGTGACAAACTGCTCGTTGTCCACACTGGAGATCTGGAGTCCCGTGTTTATTGACTTTGAGAAATAAACATGTACATGTTAATTTACGGACCCTCGCTGCCGGGCTAGCCAGACGCAGGACTGGGACGAGGACACCCCTTCTCAGAGCAGGGACAAGCCAGGGCACCATGGGGCTCTCGTGGTCGCTCTGGGACAGCCAGGGCCAGCAGCTCCACCCACACGCCCAGGGTCCCTGCACAGTGGCAGCCAGGTATCCACATGGAGGCGGGCCTCTGCCAGCCCTGCCCAGGGCCTGTCCCAGACCACTCCCGGGGTCCAGCAGCAGCTGCTGCCAAGGGCAGACCCAAACCTGGGCCAACCTTTGAGCTCCTGAGAGCTGTGCCCAGCCCCTGTGCCTCCTGGGTTCCAGATGGTCACAGCCTAGGGTGGGCATAAACGGAGGGCGAGGGCCAGGGCCAGGGCCAGGGCCAGGGCCAGGGCCAGGCAGGGGCCATCCCACCTCCTGCTGGGAAGACAGACAGGAGCTGTCAGGTGGGAGGGGCCCATCCGGTCGGTCAGGGCTGGCAAGAGGGCCAGGAGGGGATTCCAGACAACTCCGGGACCTGAGGACTGGCTGCCCTGCACGTGCCCTCAGCCTGGCCTGGACCAGATCCCCAGAGTCAGGACCCTCGCCCCCTGGACTTGGCCTTGCTTCCTGGGACCCAGGCTGACCACCACACCCGGCCCCTCAGCCCAGGCCCAGGCCCAGGCCCTGCTCTGCGGAGCTCACACTGGCCCAGGAGACCCAGCTCAGGAGAGGGCCACAGGGACCAGGAGGCGGGCAGCCTGCCTGGGGGAGCGGCCTCTGTGGGGAGGGGGGCCACCTGCCTGGGGGCGCCACAGAGAGAATGGGCTGGGAAGCCGTGGGGTGGGAGGTGCGGTGCCTGCCCAGCAAGGGCCGGGAGCAGCGTGCTGTGAGGCTGCGGGGGGAACCCAAGGCGAGACACACCTGGGCTCTCCGAGGGCGAGCCCCCAGCCCCCGCCCCCACGCACTGAGCCAAGGCATGAGCTGAGGGCAGTCTGCTACCGACACAGCAGCCTCCTTGTGGGGCCTGGGACACTGGGCACACGGGGTCCTCCGTGCTCCCGCTTCCCGTCAGGCACACGCTCGCAAGCTCACTCCCACACTCGCACGCACACCCTTCTGCACACACGCCCTCATCTCGCACATGCACACGTGCATTCCCGCAGAGGTGCACACATTTACACCCTCACGTGCACACCCACATGCAGCCATGACCTCCTGTAGGTGTGACACATGCACAGGCACCTGCGGTGGCCAGCCCATCCTGCGGGTGGCAATCTCCCCTCCCCCTCACTGGTCCTGCCAGGGACAGGCCAAGCCCAGAGCAGTGAGTCAGACGTGAGGGCCTCGGGGCTCCTCTGACTGGGCTTGACAGGGTTCCCCCAGGCAAGTCCTGCAGCCCGAGGGGAGGACTGCTGCTGGGGGCACCCGGCTACCCCCATGCCAGGCCCATACCACTGCCCGAGACCAGGGTTGGCCACCTGGTGGGGGTACAGCTGGGGAAGGGGCAGCCCAGGGGACAGAGGCTGGGGACGACCTTGAGCTCCTCCCACCCTTGGGCCCTTGGGTCTAGACGGCTAAGTGCCCCTGGGGACAGCATGGGCCTTGCACACCAGAGGTGTCCCTCCCAGTCTCGGCCACAGCCACCCAGCTGGCACACAGAGCCAAGGGGGCACATGCAGGCAGCTGGCGGCCAGGCAGGGACAGCGGGCCTATGCACCAGACTGGGGCTAGGGGTGGGGCTGGGCCTGAGCTGGGCCCGGGACTGGGCTCCTGGCCGCCCACGGCCACACCTAAATGACGGCGCTCTTCTCCTCCTGGAAGGAGGCGCGGGCGCCGGGTCGGGCCAGCAGCAGCTCCTTCTCGTGGGTCAGGCTGTCCAGCAGGTCCTCCTGGCGGTGGCTGTGGTACACTCGCAGGAAGGCCAGAGTGGTGATGGCCAGCCAGGCCAGCCACGAGGCCCAGAGGCCGAACTGCAGGAGGGAGGCAGGTCAGGGCTGCTGCTGCAAGCCCCGCTGGGCGCCTACCTTCCCCAGCCCTCCCGGGACGAGCCAGGAGGCCGCGAGGATGGGGACGGAGGACAGGACGCTCTGGAGACCCTGCCTAAGCCCAAGACTGTGCTGCCTCTTTCCTGAGCCATCCCCATCCGGGCCGCCCGGGACCTGGGCCTGTAGCCCAGCTCAGAACTGGCCTCTCCCCGCGGCAGGGCCGGGGTCCCCGGGGGCGGGCGGTGGTCCTGGAACCCCCTCCAGGGTTCAGTGACCTCAGCTGCTGTCTCGGAACCGCTGTGGGACAAGGACGGAATCGAGCCAGGCCCTGCAGTGAGTCCTGCTCACGCCTTTCTCTAAGGCCCCAGGCTAGGGCCGAGCCTCCGCCCTGAGTCTGCGCGAAGGCGTCCTTCACAGCTCCGGCTCAACTCGAAGTGCCCGGCCTGGGCCTCGGCCTCGGAAACAGTCCTCAGGCCGCTGCAGCCACCTGGGCACCCGGAGGCCCGCCAGGGCTGGGCAAGCGACCTTGGAGCCACGAGCCCTATCAGTGACCCCTCGGGCACCGCCTCCTGGGGCACAGAAGCAGATTCGAGGGACAGGCCCAGCCCAGGGTCCCGCCGGGGCCCTCCGTGCCCACGATGTGCTGGACACGCCTGTGGGTCGGCAGAGGGCCCCCCGAGTGCACCCCACCTCTGCCAGCCACCACGGTCTCTAGAGGGCAGGACGGGGTCTCCCAGATTCCCAGGCTGGCCTCTCCCCTGCCCCACACGATGCATCAGCATCCTCCCAGGCCATGGGGCAGCCAGCTCACTGCCAGGGCCAGAGTCCAGGCTCCTCACCCGGCTCTGAGCAGCCCAAACCTGACAGCCGAGACCTGGCACCGCCTCCTCCCCCATCCCCGCTCCAGCCACGGCACCCCCAGCTCCAGCTCCCTGCCCTCCCACTGCCACTTTCTAAAGCACCTTCAGGCTTCAAGACTCAGCTGTCTTACTCTCTCCTCCAGGAAGCCCTCCAGACTTCTCAGACAGCCCTCTCTCCTATGCCTGGCCTCATCTTTACGTTAACTCCCGTGGGGGAGGCTCAGCAGATGCCCAGCAGTAAGGTCTCCCCCCCCCCCCCCCCCCCACCCCCAACCGAGGGTATGGGTCGGGGGTGGGGGGGGGGAAGCGAGGGGGGCCAGGGAGCGAGGAGGATCACCCCCAAACACAGGCCTGTCCCCAGGGGGGCAGATGGGGGCCCCTCCAGGACACTGTGGGGTTGTCAGTGGGGCAGGGCAGGCGCGGGGCAGGGGCTGCAGACCCGCCCCAGCCTGGCCTGGATGACCTCTGCCCTCCTACACGCCCCGTCCCCGCCCCACTGCCCACAGCACTGCAGGGGTTGCAGGCCCGGGGCAAGGGACGTGGCTGCCCTCCCTCTCCATAGACTGGTGCTGGGACGGACAGCAAAGCACTGCCCACGGGCAGGCGGGGCCGAGCACGGCCTCCTGAGTGCCCAGCGTGCTGTCAGGACACGCCGACAGGAGTGCACTGCCCGAGAGAGGGGGGCCCAGGGCCCAGGTGCTCATTCAGCGGCCAAGGAGGGGAGGGCTGGGGAGGGTGGTCCTGAGGGTGACGAACCGCTGGGGGCCACCTGACTCGAGGTGAGACGGCAGATGGCCTGGGACCCCAGGGCAGCCCAGGGAAAAGGCCCACCCTGACCAGCTGCCATCCAGAAGGGCTGCTCTCACTCCCCAGGCTGTGCCCCGGGCCCTCCTGTCCTCTGACACCCGCATCCAGGTCTCACGGTGCCCAGAGCCTCCACGGGGCTTGCCACACCCTGCCTTCCAGGTCTCTGCCACCGCGGGCTGCACCCGGTGGGCCGGGCCATGGCCCTGACGCTAGACAGCCAGAGCAGGTGGGACTCGGGAGAGAGCTGACCAGGTGTGCACAGGCGGGGCTCAGGCAGGGCACAGGTAGGAGCACAGGTGAGGTACGGGAGGGGTAAAGGGGGGCACAGGTGGGCCTACAATAGATACAGGTGGGGACAGGCAGGGACCGATGGGGGCAGGTGGGAGTGCAGGAGGGATAAAGGGGGGCACAGGTGAGGTATGGGAGGGGTAAAGGGGGGGCACAGGTGAGGTATGGGCGGGGTAAAGGGAGCACATGTGAGGTATGGGAGGGGTAAAGGGAGCACAGGTGGGGTACAGGAGGGGTAAAGGGGGCACAGGTGGGGTACAGGAGGGGTAAAGGGGCACAGGTGGGGTACGGGAGGGGTAAAGGGGGCACAGGTGGGGAACGGAGACTTGGGGGGGGGGGTC